CCACCTCTGCACGATGACGGCGGTCACTCGGTGTGGTCCTTACAGCTGTGGGCCCCATCCCACTCATCCTTGCCTGCCTGCAGAAAGCTACGGGACTGGCTTTGCCTTTAAACGTCCTGACCGCCCTGGCCTCCCTTACCCACGATCAGATGCCGAGAGCTGAGCTGTCCGCTCGTGACTAACTCGCCACTGCCTGTAACCTGCTCTGCTGCCGGCCTCACACCCACCCTGCTGTGCTGCCTGCAGGCCTCCCCTTTCATGAGGACCTGGACTGTGCCCAGGCAGCCCCCTGTGTCGCCGAGGCCTGTCCTGCTCCCGCATGGCCTCCAGAGCTCCCCTCGGCCCCTAGACCCACATGAACCGGCTTCCCCTGGTGACTCAGGCCCCTCCTGTCCCTTCCTGGACCTCAGCGCAGGCCCTGGGGCTGGCAGGTGAGCACCCGGCACCCCCGCTAACCGCTTGGCCCTGCTGCTTCAGGCTTACAAGAGCGCGTGCGACATGGCCGAGGCGCGAGGCCGCCACCAGGAGCTTTGCATCCCCCTGTGTGTGGTGCCGGCCACGATTAGCAACAATGTCCCGGGCACAGAAATAAGCCTGGGCGCCGACACTGGCCTGAATGCTATTGTCCAGGTAAGAGAACCCCGTGTCCTCCCATTGCTTTCTTGCATTTATTTTAGCAATTTGTTTCTTCTGTGCTAAGAATGAGCCAGATTTATTATTACTCTTTACCCCACACCCTTTGCTAGCTTGGCTTTATGTCGGTCACACTGGCCAGGACAGGGTAAATTTTTTAGCTTCTCTGCCTTAGGAAGAACCTGTCTTTATTGATTAAAAGTGAGAGGATATATCCAGTCCTTGGGGTCGTGTTTCTATCCCCGCTAGAGTAGGGTAGTGGTGAGCACCATTTCTCTGGAGCCTGCCTCTCCCGCCTGCGTTGAGTAGCGAGGCTGCAGGGTCAGCTGTGGGAGCCTGCAGGAAGGGGTTTGACTGCCTGGTACGTACGAGCTCTGGGACAGAGCCGTGCCCACTGGGGGCCACTGCCTGGAACCACAGCCTTCCTGGTGAGACGAGAGGTTCTTGAGAGAGCCGAGATCATGCCCTCCTGGGCAGGCAGCTTCACCAACATGTGCTTTGGGAGGAGTGGATTCTGCCAGTCATGGGCGTGGTGCTGACACCTGCATGGTGGCCCCTCCGGTCCCTGATAAGCTGACCCACCTCTGTGGTCATGAGCTGGACATGAGGACCTGTGGGAGTTCCACAGCCTTTGCTGCAGAGAGGGTCCTCACTCAGCTGCAGATGGCACAGTGGCCACCTTGGCACGTGGGGTCACGTCAGTGGCTTGGCCGCCTGGTGCCTCCTGGAGAGGAGCCGCTGGGCCTTTACGTTAGATGTTCACGTCCAAACCAGCTCCAGAGTTTGCGGTGAAAACTCCCAGCCCTGTTGGAGACTCCTTAGTTCAGCTTGGCACAGAACCTCGGAAAACAGCAGTTCTGTTCCGGGTTCTTCCTTCAGAACTGACTTCCAGTGCAGGGAAGGGAGCGGAGGGGCCGTGAGGTCGGCTGCAGCCTCCTGTGCCTCCCACTCGAGCTGAGGACCATCTCTCTCCTGGGCTTCTCCCTGTCGTGTTCCCTGGTGCTGTACTGGCCTTGCAGAGGCTGGCCCCGGCTCGTTCCCTGGACTTCCTTGGGCCCCGCACTTGACCCCTGTTCAGTGAATGCCATTAGGGTCCGGCCATCGCTGGCTTCGCTCTCCTTTAGCACCTTGTAGATGTCCACACGTGCTTCCACCCTCGCACCCCGCACGCGGCTCAGCACTACCCCGGCCAGCAGCTGTGCTTTGCTGCAGGTCCCTTGCTGTAGCAGGGACGGGACCCCCACCCCCTGCCCCGTCTGGCCACCGACTTCAGCAGAGGCTCGGCTGCCGTGAGGGATACCAGCCGTGGGAAAACTGGCCTCCCTGCGGATTCACAGAGCAAGGTGGTTCTCACAGAGAAGTCAGTGGCTTTTTTCCACCTTAACGCTGTAGCAGACACCACCTCATGTTTTACCACCAATTTATGTTTCTTACCACCACACCCATGGAGCAAAGTGCTGGTGATGTTTGAACTCTAACCTGGGGCTCTCGCTCCCATGGGACTCCGTGGGGAATTTCCTAGCAGGATCGTGTGTGTGCCCTTGCAGGGGGTTGTGTCTGCCGGGCACATCCCATTGTGTGGCAAGAATGGCTGAGGTCACAGGCTCTGCCTGACGAGTGCCACTCACAGCTGCTGTCCACGTGCCGGGCCTGGGACTCAGCCCTCTGCCATCCTTCTGTCCACTCGGAAGCCAGGGAGGCGCCTCCGTGAAACACTACAGGCAGGCAGAGCCACGCTTGGGATCGGCCGCCTTCTTGTCAGTGCTACTTTGACTAATTGCCTCAGGCACCACCAGAGGGACTTGCTATTTTTAGAAGCTAATTCAGGCTTAAGACACCATCTAGGTAATGAGAGTTCAGGAAAGCTGTATCTGAGCTCCAGCAAAGGCGGACTCTGCCGTCCCAGCTGTCACTGCGTTTACACTGAGAGGAGCACACGGTCGGGGGCGTGGCTCAGGTGTCAGGGCTGCGCTGTTCCACGCACCCACAGCAGCAGCCTGGCAGGAGCAGAACTCAGACATGCTGGGGCACAAATCAGCCTCTTGGGAGAGCTGCTTACCTGCAGAATTCTTTTGCCTTTAAGCGGTTGATGTCATTCTTTGAATGAGTGACAGTAATTCCCCACCTCAGGGTGGGCTGCGCGGGAGATTCAGTTGGAAAAATAACCCATGAGGCTTTGTGCCTCTGGGGGTCCTGATGCCCCACCCACATTTTTCTTCCCGTGCCCGAGATTCTCTAAGACAAAGGGCAAGTCTTAAAGCCTTA